AAATAACCTTCACACATCATCACAGAGAGGAGCCAGGTCTCCTAAAAGCAACTCTGATTGAGGGGGTTGCCCACATTTGGTTCTCTCTTCTCCTTCCACCTTTTGTTACAAGCACTGCATCAGGCTCATCTACAATTAATGAGAGTGTGTTACCTACATCCTATCAGAGACTCACCTGACTTCATAAAGAACTGGATCTCTGTCTATAGATGTCACCCTCTTCCTAGGAGAAAAATTTGTTTTCTCTGCACCAGAGGTCATAGACCTGGAGATTTATAAATGATATTCAGTCCTCCAACAAACTTCGTTTTACTCTCATAATCTTTTAAAAGTAATTCATTGTTGTTAACATTTAAAAATCAGAAGATTCCACAAGAAAATCTCCATTTCCAAGTTCCTGTTTATAACTAAAACAGCTGATCACACTGCGACAATGTCCTGCTCACCAATAGTTTACTGGGTTGCATAGATAAAACCGATGACCTCTCCCCACTGCTTCAACGTACAAGTCACTTTTCATATTTTCCATTGCTCAGTGTGTGCTTGAACTTGTGACCTTTTAGATTAAACATGAACAACTTCCCCATAGTATCAAGTCTTGAATTACATACTCACTTAACTTAAACAAGTGCCTTCTTACAAAGAGTATTTCTTTATTAGCACCTGTGTTAACTGAGCTTATTTGCTCATTACTCAATAGGCAGTATAATCACAAGTTCTTAGGATGCTAGAACACTTGAGTTACCTGGGGTTGTACTAACAGAAAATAAATGCCATTCAGTTTACACTGACTGTATTTCTTCTTATAGTGGGTTTAAAAATGTTTAGGTTTATCCAGCGTAGTCACTGGGTGGAGAAGAGATGTATCAATCTCGCTGACAATAAGCTTTCCAGTGGGACAGACTATGCAGTGTATTCCACCATTTTGCTGGTTACAGAGATCGTGAAGGTGCTGTTAGGAGCACAGCATAATAACTTCCCTCCCTACAAGCCTAGCATCTAAGCCATCAGTCAGATGAGGTCTTGGGTAAAGAGGGAGAAGCTATACAGAGTACTGTACATATGGCTAGCTGAGTGTATAAGAAAGCAATCTTGAGAATTCCCTGTTGGTCCAGTGGTTGGGACTAGGTGCTTTTGCTGTTGGGGCCCAGGTTCGACCCTCAGTAGGGGAACTAAGATCTGGCAAGCCCTGTGCCAAAGGAAACCCCCCCCAAAAAAAAGAAAGAAAAGAATGCAGTCTTTATCAGTTTGCTGGAAACNAAAAAAAAGAAAGAAAAGAATGCAGTCTTTATCAGTTTGCTGGAAACATCAAGCCCTCACTACATGAGGTATACTATTTCCATCAAACCAGATTTGCATATTAAATAGGATTTGCACTGGATGTGAATCCTGCTTCTGTTACCTGCTGAAAATGTGGTCTTAAGTAATTTGCTCAATTGGGCTGAAAGTTTCTTCATCAGGAAAACTGGGATTATGATAGCACCACTATGTAGGATTATTGAGGTCAGAGTGGATATATCTGAGGTTTTTTACCCAGCACACAGTTGTTGTTTTAGCTGCTAGTCATGTCTGACTCCCTGCATCCCCATGGACTGTAGCCCACCAGGCTCCTCTGCCCATGAGGTGCTCAGGCAAGAGTACTGGAGTGGGATGGCTGCCATTTCTTTCTCCAGGGGATCTTCCTGACCCGGGGATAAAACCCCTGTCTCCCAGGTTGGCAGGGGGATTCTTTACCGCTGAGCCACCAGGGAAGCCCCCAGAACACAGTAGGGTCTCTAAACATTAGTTGTACTCTTCATTATTCCCAGCACTGCCATCACCACCCATCAGTCTCATTTTTCACTCCTGAGGTACTTTCAGCTCAGCCTGCCCTTCTGCAGTTGATATGGGCAAGCCTCTAGGTGCATTTTCTTCCCAAATATTTAGAGAGTGCCTACTATGTGCCAGGCACTGACCTAGGTGCTTGGGTTGAGGAAAAAGCAAATAAACAAAGAGAGAGACAGAGAGAGAAAACAACCCCCTGTTTGGTGGCTTATACTCCAGTGGGGAATTTCAGGCTGCTTTTCAAACATGGGCTGCTCCTACCCATGTAGAGGGTGAGCCCATGAAGCCCTTGGCTCACACCTCTCCCTGTGAGCCCACGTCTGAAATTTGATTTCCTCTGAATGAATTGGTATTAAGATTTCATCCTTCCCATTACCTGTGAGGAAAGAAAACTGAATTTCCCTCCAACTTCTTTCAAGAGAAACAGTGGGAATGAATTTTGGTTAAGAAGAATGAAAACTTTTCCCAAATTAATAAAGAGCAAACAAAGAACTAAGCAAATTTTATCTCAAGAAATAAATGGTGACTTCAGTTCAGTTCAGTTCAGTCGCTCAGTCGTGTCTGACTCTGCGACCCCATGAACCGCAACATGCCANGCAAGAACCCTGGAGTGGGTTGCCAATTCCTTCTCCAATGCATGAAAATGAAAAGTGAAAGTGAAGTCGCTCAGTCGTGTCCGACTCTTAGCGACCCCATGGACCACAGCCTACCAGGCTCCTCCATCCATGGGATTTTCCAGGCAAGAGTACTGGAGTGGGATGACATCTTTGTAAATCTCTATTCATTCATTAATTGATATATCTTTTCTGAGCTCCATGCTTAGTCACTCAATTGTGTCTGACTCTTTGAGACCCTTTGGACTGTAGCCCACAAGGCTCCTCTTGTCCATGGTATTTCCCAGGCAGGATTACTGGAGTGGGTTGCCATTTCCTTTCCCAGGGGATCTTCCCAAGCTAGGGACTGAACCCGTGTCTCCTGTGTCTCCAGCATTGCAGGTGGATTCTTTACCACTGAGCCATTAAAGTTATTTTTTACTGTAATAATGATATGACATCTCTATAAATCTCCATTCATTAATTTATGTATCTTCTACCTATTGTCAAATCACTAGTTATTCTTTATTTTGTATTTGTTAGACATATTGAGCATTTACTACATTGAGTGCATTGCTATGAGCTAAGATTTCCAGAAAATCATCACAATATTTCTATGACAGAGTTTGTCATAAGGAGACATATGCAATTACAACCAGAAACTTCTAAGGAAATTATAAAGAATTTTCTTTGTATACAGCATGTTTTTGTCTTTTACTAATAGATTTAAAAAATATACATCAGTTAGTACTTGATAGACATATCTAGGAATTGGAATGGAATTGGAACTAGGAGATCTGAATTCTAGATATTGTTCTAAGTGAGATGTTGGGGCAAATTTCATATCTACTCTATGATTTCATTTCCTAGCTGTGAAATGATATTAGTTGTACCTGGAGGATCTAAGTTGCTTCTAGAACAAGTATTTTATTTTTCTAGTTCCATACTCAGACTTCTTTATGCATACTGTATACCTTTTCCCTTTATACTTCTGTGATTATGCATGACTTATGCATGGATTATGCATGTTATGTTTCGATACAGTACTCCCTAACTTCCAAAATGGCCCTCACTCTCAGTGACATTTCAATGTGATAAGTTTGAGAATAGTCACTGGACACAATTGTCTCAGCCACTTCTGGGTTCTCTCTTCTGATTACCCAACCTGTAGAGAAGGTAAATCTCATCTATAGTTATTAATGGACTAAGCTGAGAAGCCAGTTTCATACTCCCAGGGAGACTGCAGTTGTCCGGCTTCATCAGAGCACGAGTGGAGAAGTATGTCTAATTCAGGTGGAAACTATGACTCAGCCTCCTTAGTCTAGCTCTCAGCCAAACTGTGCAAACTAGTTCTGTTAATTTAGAAAGTTAATATTTGAAACTCTCTCTGACCTTTCATCTTGCAGTTGGTATTGAACTTTGGCAAATAATATGGATATTACTCATTGGGTGTCCTCAAAACCCAACAAAGGATAAGACCAAAAAAGGGATGGACCTATTTGTTGGAAGGATTACCTGTTCCTATGTGTAGCCACTTGACTTTCTCAGTACATTCCTGTCACTCCCTCTGTGGATTCAGCTGCTCAAATTCTAATCTGTATAAAAAAGCACATGTTCCTACTCTTTGGAAACCTAGCATGTAAAATTTGATTTCACTAATATGAAAATATGAGTGATTATATATTCTAAAGGAGGACTCAATACATTAATGCATTCATTGTAGGGTTTCTCTTTCTATATATATGTTTCCAAAACTTCCCATATGAAAGTGCCTTTCTACACAACTTTTAAATAGTGTATATCCAATAAATACTTATTAGGGTACTGTTTAACCTTCATGTGTATGTACATATGGTACAAGTAATAGCAAAAATTTTGCCCCCTTTACCTAAGATTGTTCTATTTATGTTGCTTTAATCTGTTTTACTTTAACTTATTTTCTGCTTTTTGATCCCTTGTCCTTTTAGATGGAAAATAGTAAATATCCAAGTATAGAATGGATTAGTCCCAAATGATATATATATAAGATGCCTTTTATTAATATGTTTGTGCTAAAATTCTTGGGTCATATCACACTACTCTCATTGGCCAACGCATCTGATCTTTTTAGTTTATATATTACTTCATTTCTTCACTTTTAATAATATAATGAATACCTATTTTCTAAAATATGTTTCTACCTATTAGTGAGGTCCTCAGATGTGTTTTCAGGATTCCAAAGTATATGATCACTTTCATTTCACCCCAAATGCCTCCAGTAAATTTGTTCTCTGTTCCTTATTTCTTAGTAAAGCTTGTAGATTGTATTCTTTTATGTAGCACCCAAAGTCACCCCACCGAAGCCTTCGGGACAGAAGAGCTGCATCTTTAAATGTAGGACCTTTTGGGGGGCTTCCCTGAAGGCTCAGATGGTAAAGAATCTGTAATGCAGGAGACTTGGGTTTGACCCCTTGGTCAGGAAGATTTCCTGGAGAAGGAAATGGCAACCCACACCCGTATTCTTGCCTGAAGAATTCCATGAACAGAGGAGCCTGGAGGGCTATAGTCCACAGGGTCGCAAAGAGTCAGACATGGCTCAGCAGCTAACACTTCACTTTTTTATGAAGTTAAAGATGAAATCTGCTTCAACCAGAGAGGGGATCTGAAGGAAAGAGATCATGTGAAATATGGAGAGCAAACTAGAGAGGCAAAATCCAGGGGCCTGAGCGGCTCACTGTCTGGGTTTGACTCAGCTGGTGGTCTTTCCCTTCGAGGTCCCTGGGCTGAGGCCACTGCATTCTGCTGTGCCGATTACCACAGGCGGAGAGGCATTCCCGTACTTCCACTATTTAAAGATGGGAAGAGAGAAGCAGTGAGAGTTTAATTTTTTTATCTTAACTATATGGAATGGAAACTGTTTGAACTACTAGAACTTAAGTTGTTTACGTACATATTTAATAAAGGCTATCTACTTAGCTTCTACTGGCATGCCTTTGGGAGCTGGAGGGTCTGGCATAAAGTTTAGTAAACTTTCAAATACCTATAAATGTATACTCTGTTCAATCTATTTGTGGCAACACTAGCTTCCTCCATCTATCGTCTAGCAAAACTCTTAGCTATTGAAAATGAAGCCACATCACATTAGCAGGTGGCTAAGGCTGCTGAAGTGACTTAACAACAGCAGTGGCAAGGCTGCTCATGGCGGTAAGTTAAGTGAGTCTGTACGACACTTAATAACCAAATATAAACTATGGTTAGATTATCCATTCCTCCAAATTTCAATATTCTTCCCTCCCCTTAATTAGTAAATATAAGATGAAAGTTAATGGCATCATAATTTAGTTATGGAAAACATTCACATAATTTCCCTTGCTCTAGCTTAAATTTCATTAAAGAGTTTCAAAAATAAAACAAAATATTAAAATAATATAGATTTTAAAGAACTTCCTTCATTCATTCTAATGCTTTAGATTCCACACTCCTCCCACACCACTTTTGGAACAGTTGTTGTCCCAAAGGAGAGGCATATTCTTACCAATGAGGAATAGTGAAAGGAAGAAACGAGGCGTGCCTGAATATTTCATTTATAAAAGCTTCTGTGTAGGGTAAAAGTTTCCTGTCTTCAAACCTGGGTGATTTCATCCCAATCTTTCCATCTGAGGGGGAAAAAAAAAAACCATTCTTAAAATTTTAATTTAAAATGAAAATATACTCAAAATAATTATATTTTTCATCTGAAAGCATGTTACTAATTTCTTCTTGAATTTTGACTTGAATTTTCCAGATAGTATATCAAATAAAGAAAGCTCCAATATAGACATGTTGATATTATTTCAAACCCTGAAAATAAAGAGAAAGTGTATCTTGGAAAAAGGTATTAGCAAAATCAGATCTTTAATTTACTTTGTTATTTGGACACTAAGAATCCAAGGAAAATAATCTACATATGATTGCTCATTAACAATTATTATACATTTTTATAATTATTATTCACAAATACAATTGTACTTGTAATTTGTATTTATAAATGTACTTGTAAGTGTATTTGCAAATACAATTATTATACATTAAGGTTTATTTCAAAACACAGGCTTAATATCTTGCCCATTAGAATAGCCACTATCAATAAAACAGAAAACAGCAAATGTTGGTGGGAATGTAGAAAAAATGGAACTCTAATGTATTGATGGTAGAAATGCAAAATGATGAAGTCACTATGGAAAAAAATATGAAGAGCTCTCAATATTTAAAAGAGAATTACCATGTGACCGATCAACCTACCTCCTCAAAATATACTCAACACAGTTGAAAATATGGACTTAAAAAAGATCTGTAAAACTATGTTCATGGTAGCATTATTCACAATAGTCAAGAGATGGAAACAATCCACACATCCATTGATAGATGAATGGATAAATAAAATGTGGTATATACATGCAATAGAACATTTTACAGCCTTAAAAAGAAGAAGATGGCTTACTTCACTCTGTATAATGATCGCCAGTCCAGGTTAGATGCATGAGACAAGTGCTCCGGGCAAAAAGTTCTAAAAATATGTTGCACAACAATGTGAATATATACAACACTACTAAATTGTACACATAAAAATTTAGGATAGTAAATTTAATCTAAGGGGCTTGCAGCCATAATAAAAAATAAAATATAAAAATTTTAATGCATAGATATTACTATAAGGCAAATTAAAACATTGGAAATAGCTTACTACAATATAAACCATTGTTATAATGGCTATGATCTATATATAATAATAATATCTTAAATCCTAAGTAGTTATTGAATGCTTATTCTATTCTATGCTCATCTAACTGAGGAGAGAACTGTGCCTTGAGGACCTTGTGGACCTTGCTTAAGGTGACTCAACTCAGAAGAGACAAGTGGGATGTAAACTTGGACTTACCCGACTTCAAGGCCGTAAGTTTGTATAAGTGCATAATGGAAGGTTGAGTACATTCAATTTTTTGAAATACTAACTTTTTTGTATAGTTATTTTATTTTAAAAATTCATTCTTTAAACACGATGTCTTTACTTTTGATATCATCTGTACATTGGTAAGATGCTTTTCATTTATTATGAAAATTAAAGCTAAAAAGTTTATATAAAACTTCATCTTTTCTCAAGGATGACTTTACACTACATCAAAGAATGTGATCAGTTTTCTTGAAAACCTACAGTCAGAAATATCACATTAAACAGTTTTTCTAGGCTGTTCTAATTGTAAATTCAACTCAGTGATGACCTAATGGTTCAGATGGCAAAGACTTTGCCTGCAGTGTACGAGACCAGGGTTCGATCCCTGGGTTGGGAAGATTCCCCTGGAGAAGGAAATGGCTATCCACTCCAGTATTCTTGCCTGGAAAATTCCATGGACAGAGGGGCCTGGCAGGCTATAGTTCATGGGGTCGCAAAGAGTCAGACATGACTGAGTGACTAACACTATTGCCAACATTAAAAATGTTATTTGTGTTTTCTACTAAATCTTATAAAATCTAGTAGCAAAAATGAATGGTTAAATCAATATTAACATTTACAGTTTTCATGATGATGATGACAACAATAACAGTGATAATTCCAAACACTGATCACTTGATTGCCCTGTCATTTGAAATGGGAGCTGTAATTAGTCTCACTCTAGAGACGAGAAACATGCAGCACAGAGATGGTTGAATATTTTACCAGGACCACACAAGAGACAAAGTGAGTCTCTAATTCAAATCTGTGGTTTCACTGCACTGGGACTTCAGAATTTGTTTGTTCTCTAAACAACCTTGCATGACAACATGTGCAAGAAATATACCCAAATTTAGCTTCAGAGCAATCAGAACCCCTTCCCAAATATCTCTTCTCAAGACCTGGTTTTACATTTTTTGAACAGGGCAATCTCTTGTAGAGAGCCAGTAGATTCAACAGTTCTTTTGCCATAAAATTTCTAACATGACTTCACAGTGCAAGGAATTATCCTGAAAATAAGTTGCCCAAATGGATTTGCCAACAATGGTGTCTATAGTATGGTAGAGCATGGTAGGAGAACATGGAATTCTATTCAGAATACACTGTTTCTATTTGCTACTAAAAGAAAACAAAACAAGTCATGAATGCTGCATAAAAGACACTGATTTTGCACATTGTAGGGCCATGAACATTATATCCAAGACCTAGGACTATTTGATAAATATCAGGATTCATATTTTGATCATCATGAACTTTTCTTTTTATATCAAGGCTTAAGCAACCTATTATTTATTTTGGCACGAGGAAAAATAATACAAACAAACAAACGCCTCTGTTTGCAAAGGAAATTCAGAAACACAAATATGTAGACCCTAGGAAAAAGTGAACCCAATTGCCAATAACGATGGCATAAAGAAGAAAGGAGAAGACAAGTCTGAAGAACATTCCACCTAAGATGAAACTGTTAAAACATCTTTAGAGTCTTGCTGTTGTTGCTGTTATACTAAGGGAATTTGCTTTCTACAGTCTAATATCTTACAAGAACTATAAGAAATTTGATAGTGTCAGCACAAATAATAAATAATCCAAAATAGGAATAGAGAGCTTTTTTTAAAAAAGATTTTTTGATGTGGACCATTTTAAAGCCTTTACTGAATTTGTTACAATGTTACATCACAAGGCATGTGGGATCTGAGCTCTCCAACCAGACAACTGGACTGCCAGGGAAGTCCCTAGAACAGAGTTTCATTTGAGCTAAACTGAGGACTGTAGCCCAGGAGACAGATTCAAGAAGCACTTGAATTGTGTTTCCCCAGAATTAAAATGGGGAAAGTTTGTATAGGAAAAAACTGCAAAGTTACATGAGGTGTCTGTCAAGAATTATGGTCGGAGTTGGCAAGAAGTAAGTGTGGTTGTTAAGCAAGGATTGCCTAGGGTCCAAAATAGTTGCTTAGTTACAAGGAGAAACCTCAAACCATAAGTTTGCAGCTGGCAGCTACTAGCAGATATTGTTTTGAAAACGGCTGGTGTTGTCCTTGAGTTTGATATAGCACAGAAAATTCAAGTTCTCAGTGATGCAGGAACATGTCTGAAACCGTGTCCACAATGACCGTCCAGCTCCATTACAGATTCCTGAACCGCAGTTTTATATTTTGTCAGAACAAAGAACAAACATCAAATATGACAGGGGTCCATCCTTCGAGGTTTCAGTGAGTCAGCATGACATGGTGTCTGAGAAGGAAATTTCATCTTTGAAGGATTGCTAGAGTTGGTATCATAGGAAGGGGGGTGAAATATTATTCCTATCTTCAAAGTGAATAAGTCTTTTCAGTCATGTCCAAATCTTAGCAACTCTATGGACTGTATGTAGCCCACCAGGCTCCTTTGTCATGGGATCCCCCAGGAGAAAATAATGGAATGGGTCGCTCTGCCCTCCTCCAGGGGATCTTCCCAACCCAGGGATGGAACCTGCGTCTCTTAGGTCTCCTGCATTCACAGGTGGATTGTTTACCACTGAGTGACTTGGGAAGCCCTATCCAAACTTGAGTGCAAAGCTGAAGCCAAATCATGTGCCCACCATATCACTTCCCCAGCCCTCAATAACTGAAAATTGCTTTCATCAATAGGTAAGAATGGTTTAAGAAGAAAAAAAACTATGAAGTGTTAAGAATGATAGTGGTGTGATGGAGATATAAATTATCTTCCTGAAAAGGATATTGATAATCTGTATGAAAAACTCAAGAATCCTTTTATTACATGACCCAGAAATTCTGCTTCATAACATAAGAGTACATTGAAAAAGGAGACAAAATTGATGCACAAAGATGGTCATCTTAGCATTGACAAGATATTCAATATCTGCATTGCTGAGACACTGACTAGTAAAATGTGGGGAGGGTACAGAACATGGAATACTATACAGTTGTTAGAAGCAGCAAATTAGAAATACACCTGACAACCATGATTGGATCTTAAAAATATAGGGTTTCATGAAAAAAGTTATAAATGAGATGCAAATAACAATGATAATTTACATATATTAAAATAAGCTCATGATAAATATAAGAATACACACTAGTACATGAAAATATCAAGCCCATTTTAAAAGAATACATGAGACAAAATATATTCTTAAACAGATTAAGAATAAATGTCAACAGGTTGGGAAAAGGATTGAGAGTGTGATATAGACTTAAAAGTAGTAAATGGCCGATATCAAAAGAGGGAAATATTTTATAGCAGAAAACAGAAAATTGTGATTAATCGTCATTCACTTTAAATGCTGATAAATAGTTATACATACCAGCTCCAGAGAGGTCACTCACAGTGCTTATAATTTCATCATCATTTAATGTGGTTGCTTTGGTGACAGCATATTTGTTGTGGCATGCATTAATCAGAGCATCAGTGATAGCTTGGATGTGGTCCTAAGGACACAAACCTTAACATGATTATTCATCCCTTCCTACATTTTATAGCACATATGACTCTCATGCAGGAAGAGCCAGAATACCATGTAACTTGAAATGAACCCAATTAACTTAGGAATGTAAAGAATATAAGTAGATCATTTTAAATCTTGCAACTAATTTTCCTTGTCAGTGGTAATGCTCAATCATAAAAGAGTGTAGTAAAGAAAACCAAGTTACCAAACTCAATTTTCTTCTTAAAAGTTTTTTATTTCAATCAATAAAGAGTATGCCAATGTCTGGAAGTGCACTTAGAAAAATCAGAGGTTAACTTATAGAGAATATGCTAAGCAATAAATATAAGAGGTTTTCAAACCTACTGTAAGAATTTTACTATAATCACCATGCAGAAGGAGGTGGGATTGGGATAGATTAGGGAGTAGGAAAAAAATTTTATGAATTTCACAAACAGTTTTATTTACAGTATCTGATCTAGAATTCCAGACTGGTACCTTGATACAGATTGTTTTCTGCCCATTCCTTTTAATCAGATGGGACTTAAGTCCTCACTCACTTCCTTTATTCAATTACCCACTTTTTCATGTTTTTTTCCCCCAATGCTTTACTCTCAGGAAATAGTTCCCTAACAACTAGGATTTTTTTCTAGTATTTACATAATTCGAGAGAGAAATTTTCTTTTCTGTGGGCCATCAAATTGGGCCAAAAACATTTCAATGGCCTCACAAAAAGGTTTGCTTCTGTCATCTGGAGAACGTTTCTACATGTGTTATGATCTCAAAGTTCATTTTTCCACAGGAAAGAAACTCAAGAAGGATATGAGATTAAACTGAAAGCTTCCTATAGAATAAGGAATGTTCATTCCTTATAATTATTCAAAGAACTTTCTGAAAAAACTATGCTGATACTTTTAAGACCTCATAGTTTCAGAGATAAAATTAGAGAAACAAAATTATTGGGTCATTTCTTCAGGAAACCCACTTAAATGTTGATCATCATTTATCAGCCAGGGACAGATTCATATTTCAAGTATGCGTCTTATATGCACAGTAGGGAAATTCTGAGATTTCAAAAAATTCAAAGTTCTTTTTTGGGTCCCTACATGAGAGCTAAGTAATACTGCCCTATAATATCTCTGACTGGACTTCACATTTATTAATGGTTTGGGTGAGGTTCACTATGGAAAAACTACAGTAAAAGAACCAGGGTAGTACATACAACTGTCTGATTTCTCAATGCATTTCACCACTTTTTTTCTCCTTCTCACCAAATCCCTTGTCCCATCATGCATTTAAACCCTTACCTTATCATATGTTGTAAGATGATCTTGTACATATAGAGCAATAAACATGCCTGAAAGAGAATAAATAGAGAAAATACTAACAAATAGTAACAGTAATAAATAGTAGAGAATAAATGCCTGATTCAGGGCATGATAAAACTCCCAGGGAGCATTTATAATTTGCAAAGGAAGGTATCAGAAACATGGTATGTAATCAGGAGGATTTGCAGCACTGGAGGCCTTGAGCAAGTCATCATCTGTTTCAACAATTCTAAGAAACTCCTCATCACTGTGGTCATATCTCTTGCCAAAGCAAAGGGCACAGACAACATTGGCCATAGCACAGGTAATAGCACCTCTAGGTTCAAAGCCGCCACTCTTGGAAGTCAATTCTGTAAAGACATTTACCAGCTCAGAGACTTCCTTGATGATATGTTCCTCAAGTAAGCAAGAGCAAGTGGAGGATTTTGTTTCTGCTTTAAAATGTTCGTAAAGCATTGGAAGCAATTTTCTCATGAAGTTGACAACTCTCCCCATAATTGACTGAAAACGTAAGACTCCTTCATTGTGCCAGGAAAGAAAACGTATACATGTTAGGTCAGGCTGCAAAATGCTCTCCACTTTTGAGTAGCACTTCTTTCACCATTTCCATCCCACTCACCACCAGGACAGGCACCATACCAAGTTTGATGAGAAAGACATCTTCATATTTCTCCTCATTTCCATGAATGTAAGGTAAGGATGGTCTCCAAGCTGAAGAAGATTTCCCATGATGGGGAGGGACCATGGGCCAGGAGGAAACACCTCCTTTCTCTCTTTGTTTCCTAGTGCTCTTACAAAACAAAACCATCACCAAAATTATGAGAGAAGTGGTCACCTCTCCAGAAGTGACTGCCATGCCGAATATCATTTTCAGGTTTAAAACACCTAATATAGAAAAATCTAACCATCATTTTTTGCTATTCTAAGCATAGACTAAGTAGTCTTTCTCCATGTAAACATTTAGGAGAAAAGTACAGACTCTTTATATTTAGATGAAAACTATTATTAAACAGTGCACCAAGAGAGTAAAATGAAATTCTTGTAAAATTCACCATATGTCTATCTCAATTCTATTATTTTCATGATTCTAACCATCAGACTAAATCCTTTCATGTCAGTTGTTGACATCATAGACAGAAGGAGAGGATAACTCAGTGTAGGAAGCAGCCTGGTGGGTGGCAAATGGATTGAGGCTATAGAACCTGATTTCATACTCATTAGCTGGGGGCATCTTCATCCTGCCACTTAATCTAAGTGCATCCCAGTTGTCTCATCTGTGTCCTACTTAACAAAACTCAGTCATACATTTTCTCAACAAATATTTAGTGAACACCCCAATGTCAGGCACTGAAAAATACAAAACAGAATTTCACAGATTAATGAGGAAACTAGAACAAAAATAAGATTATAAAGTAATAAGTGCTATAAAAAACTGTGTATAGTATCATCTGTCATTGTGTGAGGATGAAACGCAATCATTAAAAAGTACTTGGTTAGGGCTTCCCAACTGGCTCAGGAGTAAGAGGCTATTGGCCAATGCAGGAGACATGGGTTCGATCTCTGATCTGGGATGAGCCCACGTGCAGCAAAGCAGCTAAACCCAAATGCTACAACTATTGAGCCTGGACTCTAGAGCCGGGGAGCCACAACTCAGCCCACGTGCCAAAACTCCTGAAGCCTGGGTGCCCTAGAGTCCATACTCTGCAACGAAAGAAGCTCCCGCAGTGAGCAGCCAGAACACTGCAAGGAAGAGTAGCCCTCACTCTCTGCAGCTAGAAAAAAGCCCATGAGGCAACGCAGACCCAGCATAGCCAAACATAAACAAACAAAATTATTTTTTTTAAAGTACTTGGTGAATTACAAGCCATTTAGTATAAATCTAATTGGCTGTCTGCCTAGTCTGTTCTTAAACTTCTCAGCCTGCTTGTAAAAGTCACTTTCTGAAGCAATTCTACTGGTTTGAAACCTGTCCATACAGTCACAGATGGTTGATCCAAGGGATAAGCCTTCAGTCCAAGATGAACCTTAGGAATGTGGAACTGGGACTGTGAAGGTTCATCTTCTGATTGGACATAAATATGAACATAAAACGTGGGAACATTTCACCTGCCAGGAGGACCTGAGAAACTGTGAGAAAAGGTCTGAAAAATAAATGAAGTAAAAAGGAAAAGCAATAAAAGATGGAGAGTGGTCTCATGACCTTGTATGCACTGTTTCTAGTGTCTTCATGAGATTTTGTCCTCAGGCTGAATTCTTTTCTGTTTAAAGTAGCTAAAACTGGTTTCTGTTACCAAGAGGGTCGTACCCCTCTCCCCTGCAAAATAAAGTTTAATAGACAAGAAGAATATTTTCGTTATTGCATTTTTAAGATTTTTATCTGTTTATCTGCCTGCACTGGGTCCGCACTGCAGGACCCAGCTTTCTCTGGCTGCGGCGAATGGGGGCTGCTCTTCCCTTCTGAGCGCAGGCTTCTCACTGTGCTGGCTTCTCTTATTGCAGAGCACAGACTCTAGACATCCGGCTCTGGTCGCTGCCGCACGCAGGCTCACAGTGGCAGTGGGTGGTTCTAGGGTGTGCGTGCTTCAGTATTTACGGCACATGGGCTTTGTTACTTCACCGCATATGGAATCTTCCCAGACAAGGGTTTGAACTGAACCCATGTCCTCTGCATCGGCAGGCAGATTTCTACCCACTGTGCCACAAGGCAAGTCCAGTCCAATACTCTATATTTTAGAGTAACTACAGAGAGAATACAAAACTGTCTCTCCCTTGAAAGAATATAACTGAATTTCACACTTGGCAAATTAGTTCTTGAGACAAATAACATTGGTGGGCCGTATACTCATTGGCCAGTGCAAATATCCAGTTCTTTTTGGGTGTTTGAGTAGGCCAGCACTTGATTTCACATATATATGCAATACATAGATACATATACACACTGAGAGGCATCCTTGCTAGCAGTAATGAACTTGTTTTCCAGTTCAGAAGAAAATGATAGAGTGGTAAAAAGCACTACACTTACATTCTACTTAAAAAGAAGCACCAAGGACCAAAGAAATGTGTACATTAACTCTCCCATCCTGAATATGCAAGAAAAACCTTGTTACCCATCTTATTTGATTGTTTCACCTTTCCAAGTTCACAGATAAAATGTGGCTAATTACATTCACTTGGTTGGCATTGTTTCCTAAGGAATACACTTTGGAGTTGAAAATTAAAGATCAACTTCTTTTTATGGGGGAAAATAAATGTGCAGTTAAACTAACAAGAAAAACTTGAGTTCCTAATCAATGCAACAGCTGCAATTTGCAAAACTTTCTTTTTCTCTCAGTTTAGGAAGAAAACAGTGAGAATGTCACTGTGCTGTGGCTTTGCAGCACGCTGATTTTGTGAAACCTCTCCTGCTTCTATGACCATTTATCCCCTTACTAGGTGCCAGATCCAGAACTAAGCACTAATCCACACTGTCTTTCAAAACTCATACCTCTGTGAGGTAATGTATCATGCTGTTACAGAAAGGCTTCACAAGATAAAAAAATCACTTTCCTCATTTATTTCCCGTTAAAAGATATATTTACTTCTTTATTTGGCTGTGCCAGGTCTTAATTGTGATGGGAAACCTTTAATTGTGGCCTGGTGATCTTTTTTTTCCATTATTGTTTTCAGTTGAAGAGTCCAAATTCTTAGTTGTGGCATGTGGGATCTAGTTCCCCAACTGAGGACCTTGTAGAGTCTTGGCCACTGGACCACCAGGGAAGTCCCTATTTCCCATGTTTTTTAAGCTTAATATAAAATCACCAATTACTTGGAGCACTTGCTTTTTCACAAAAGTCAAAAGGAGCACTTGCTTTTTCACAAAAGTCAAAAAAGTCCATTTCTCTTAGGCATTCACCAAACTACTAATTTGTATATTGACAATAGTCCTATTATCGTTGTTTTCAAAGCAGACGACTAAGTAGATGAGAATGGGTGTGGTTAGAATTAAGTGTGACTTGACTCCCACAAAGATGACTGGGTTGCCCCACCTACCTCTCTTGCTATTTAGCTGTGGGAATTCCATTAAATTATAGTCTTTTTTGATCTCAGTTTTCTCATCTGTAAAATGGTCCCTTCAGACTGGAAGACTTTGAAGGCCAGCCCCAGCCTTCAGTAATCAAAGTTAGAAGGAAACATGGGACAGAAGCCTGAGTGTGATGTCCAGGGTTAATTGCCAGAGTTCCCAGAGCAGTCAACGGTTCATCAACAAATGTAAGTAACTGTGTGACTGCCTTGGATTCTTTTTCAACTTGGGCCCTTCTAGTCTGTAAGAAATCCTCCTTGGCAGTTTACCAGACCCGGACACATTGCCAACTTTCCCAGCAACTTTCTCGGAAAGCTCTGAAGGCACATTCTGTTCCTGTTGTTTGGGGTGAACTGGGGCTGAGAACAGAGGGTGTTCATCTCACTAAGGGTGGGCTGCTGCATCGTCAAAAATTCAAGGTGAATTCTAACCCTTTCGCTTCCCATTTGCATGGAATTAAGGTGAACTCTAACCCTTTAAGAGAAGAACCAGGTGAAAAGAGCACGAGGAAGTTGAAGGCTTTTGCACGGATTCTCAAAACTAAACACACACACACATCAGGCCTCCTCCAGAAGCTGTGAAACCATTACAGGGTCCACATCCCAAACGAATCAGTTAAATCCAAATCTCTAGGGGCGGAGGCATGTTAAAAAGTTCCTCAATATGACTAAGGGGCATTCCAAGTTGCTGTCCTTTCTGGGGAGAAAACAGCTGGCTGTGAGATCAACAAACCCATTCAGTTAAGTTACAATGAAGCTTGGAAGGCTCACCTGTGCCCAGAGATCTTGCAGTCAAACATGAGGAATCTGGCGGAAGGATTGAATGACAGACAAGGTTTTGAAGAAAGCTGAGGTTATCCTAGGAAACAGGAACAGTGTGGTTACAGAAGCAGCAGGCCTGGGGAAAGGCTGGGAGAGAACATTCTGGTTCTAGAAAGTGAGGGGTGGACCTTGGACCCATGTGGGGAGGAGTCTGGAGCTGGATTAGGGCATTTGAGAGCTAGAGAGCGGACTGGAGAGGTCTCTGCAGCCAGAATTAGATCCTGGAAACTGGGAAATTCCAGCGTGAGTGGAGGGAGAGGGACTACACCTGGAGCAAGGCGTCTCAAGAAGGGTGTAGGATGGAAACTGATCTTGGAAGGGAGGATGGAAAAACTTAACTGTTTTTCAGTTGCTGCTGATAAGCAGAATTAGGGTGAAAGGTATGTAGCAAGGAAGCAAAGCGCAGGAAGGAAAAAGACAGCAGTGCAGACCTACTGCTTTACTGCGAATTCCAGGAAACCTGCGGCATGCTCTCAGTGTCTGGGCAACCAAGAGCAGGAGCAGGAAGATGGACGAAATGAAAAAACTAGGAAACTCAGGTTCCCTTTTGCTGGCATGTTTGGTAGCATCTCCGGAGTCTTCATCAAGTGGACAGATTCGTTTTTCCACAACTAGAACAGTTAACTTCTGAATGTGACATTCATAGCTTTGATTTGAGAAAAAATTATCCCCATCATTTTTTTGTTTGACCAGGATAAACATCAATTTTTCTACATCTCCAGCATGTAAGGTCTAGTTTTTCTATGCGTTATTAGGGAAATGGCGTGTGGCTCGTTGATATTTTCCTGTGAAGATGTCTATAAGTTATTACATAATAGACTTCTCTTTAAAGCTTTGGCATTTTTGGCCCCATAATTATTTGCTGTTTCAAGTCAGCTTTTAATGAGATTGTCCGAGAAGGATCATTGATATCAAGTACTTTCTCACGTGATGAAGAAAGTAAGCCCACAAAGAGAGTGCTAAACTCAAAGAGTAACCTTCAGGCCCTGAGCTATGGTATCCTATTCACAAAGCATCATATATTTCTAAATATTGAAATTCTCAAAATAATATGATCCAAAAAAAAATCTGACAAAGGCTTACAAACCATAGGGACTTTCTGACGCAGAGGCAGAACTTTTCCTAACCAGCATTCAGTCATGTCATACTTAGTTACCCAAAAAACCCACTTTTTTTTAGTGCTAAAGTTTTTCTTTAAGTATTACCTTCTTAGTACAATTAACCCCACATTGGATTAATGTATAGACATTACATAGTTATATAAGGAAATAATTGCTTGGCAATGTGTCATTTGAAAGCTTTGTTAGTAGAAGACAATGAGAATTGCCCTGCATTCCCATTGATTACGAGGAAAATCCTTCCCATAATAATAATTGTGGCAGCTAATGTTTATTGTGCACTTACAAGGAATAAGCATTGAAAGTACTTTACATATCATATCAACTATTTCTTATACCCAACTTCTAAAAGAGCTGCTATTTTTTTCTCTGGCAGATAAGTTTTGAGCCTAAGAGAAATTAGAAAATAGGCTAACAACGGACATGAATTTGCGCAAACTCCGGGAGACAGTGAAGGACAGGGAAGCCTGGCGTGCTGCTGTTCATGGGGTCACAGTCAGACACGACTGACTGACTAGGCAACAGCTGTGCTGTTAGCCTCCGATTATACCACCTTCTACTGGAGAATTCATGGGTTTAAACTTTGAAACTGCTGCTGCCTACAAGCACAATCTCACAATACAGGGGGTGTATTATGTTGTCAGCTGTGGCTTCCACCCATGTACCCAATGGTCGGGGATGGAATGCTAATTTCCAAGGAATGTTGTAACAAATCATCACAAACTTGGTGGGTTGCAACAACAGAAACATATTAACTTACAATCCGGAGGTCAGAAGTCTGAAATCAGGGTGTTATTAGGCCCCTTCTCTTTCTAAGGACTATGGGGGTAATTTTGCCTGGTCTCTTTCAGCTTCTGGTGGCTCCAGGTGTTCCTGGGTTGTAGATGTTATCACTCCAATCTCTGTCTCAGCCCTCTCCTTGTCTCTCTTCTGTGTGACCTTTATTAAGGTGCTTGTCATTAAATTTAGGGCTCAACCAAGAGCCCTCTTAGAGAGATGTGATTGGATATTAGTCATGCAGATGTCCTCTGGAAGGTATTCCAACATAGCTGTGTAAGTCGGATCAGAAACTCAGGAGTGAATCATTTCATTGGTCTGCTATCGTGTTAGTGAAATAGACAACACTTGGTCTATGGCATATTCTGCACTGTGCTAAAGCCTTACACAGTCTCAATTTTTATAAATCACAAGTATTTTCTTTCAAATACTGTTTAATGTTTTTCATTCTTATAAGTTTCACACATGGAATCTCAACAGACTCTAAACACCAAAAACAATCTTGAAAAATAAGAATAAAGTTGGAGGTCTCATATTTTTTTATTTCAAAACTTACTATAAAGCAATAGTACTCAAAAGAGTTTGGTACTGCCATAAACACAGACACATTGATCAGTGGAATTGAGTAAAGAACCCAGAAATAAATCCTTACATATATGAAAATGAAATCTGTTAGTTGTTCAGTTGTGTTGACTCTTTGCGACCCCATGGACTGTAGCCCACCGGGCTCCTCTGTCCACAGAATTTTCTAGGCAAGAATACTGGACTGGGTTGCCATTCCCTTTTCCAGGGGATCTTCCCCACCCAGGAATTGAACCTGAGTCTCCTGCATTGCAGGCAGATTCTTTACCATCTGTGCTACTGGGGACGCCCAGAAAAATATTTACATATATGGTCAAATGTTTTTCTACAAGTCCCAAGATCGTTAATGATGAAAGGACAGTCTTTTCAGCAAATGATGTGAAAACTGGATTTCCAGATGCAAAAGAACGGAGTTGGACCCTTTCATTATGCCATATACAAAATTAACTCAACATAATAAATATATCACAGTAAAAATTAGTTTTATAATAAAACTATGAACCTATCAGAAGAAAACTTGGGGAAAACGTCCATGACACTGGATTTTGCAATAATTTTTTGGACATGATACTAAAACATCATGAGGAAAACAACAACAAAATAGATCATTTGTACTTTATCAAAATTAAAGCTTTTGTGCATTAAAGGGCACCATTAACATAGTGAAAAGGCAATGTATAAAATGAGAGGAAATATTTGCAAATCATATACCTGAAAAAGGATTAACATCTAGACAATATGAAGAACTCTTACAATTCAACAATGACAACCCAAGAGAAAAGCATGGACAAAGGACTCGAATAGACATTTCTTAAGAGAAGATATGCAATGGTCAAAAGAAAAAAAAAAATCACACATGAATATATGCAACACTAATAATCAGGGAAATGAAAGCCAGATCACAATGAGATACTACTTCCCACCCATTAGAATGGTTATTATAGAAACAAAATGAAGTGAAACAAAAAGCCTCAAGAAATAACAAGTATGATCAAGGTTATGGAAAATTGGAACCTTTATGCATTTCTGATGGGAACAAAATAGTGCTAGTGGAAAACACTATGGTGCCCCTCTGCTAAAATTAACATTTAATTATCACATTATTGGAAAAGATTCTATCTTTGACAAAAATTTAACTAGGCTTCTCTGAGTCTTCTTTTTGACTAGGCATTATCCTGGGGTCTGCAGTCCAATTGTAGCAAGAATCCTGCTAAGTCAGTTTAGAGGAAATCTCTCACCCTTGTTCAAATCCACAATAACAGATTCTCCTGGTCAGCCAGCCTTTACCAAGAATACTATTAGGTCAGTTTAGCATGAATGCCCTTACTTGTGATGTTCTCTCCTATTTATTTTCCAGCCACTGGTCCTCTCAATCTGCTCACTGGTTACAAATCCCTAGCTTTCCTCACTGTATTCAGAGTTGAGCCCAATCTCTCTCCCCTGTGGTAATGGTCTTGACAACTACACCATAGTTCTGAATAAAGTCTCCCTAACTGGCTTAATGTGTATCAGAATAATTTTCCTTTATCATGATCCAGAAATTCACATCTGGGTATATATTAAAAATAACCAAAACTGGGAATTCAAATAGATATCTGTACACTCATGTTTAATGCAGTATTATTCACTATTACTAAAATTTGGAAGTACTCCGTTGTCCCCTGATGGAAAAATGGACAAACAAAATATGGTATGTACATACAATGAAACATTATTCAGCCTTAAACAGAAAAAAATTCTAACACATGTTACAATATGGATGAACCTTGAAGATAGTATGCAAAGTGGGGGAAAAAAAAAACAGCCACAAGAGAATAAGTATTGTGTGATTCCACTTATATGAGGCACCTAGAGTAATCAAATTCATAGAGTCTAAAAGTAAGATTGGTGTTTGACAGGGGCTGGGGAAAGGAAGGAATGCAGGAGGCATTGCTTGGTGGGTACAGCTATAGAAAATGAAAAAGTTCTGGACAAGACTGGTGGTGATAATTGGATAACCATGTAAATGTACTTAATACCACTGAATTGTATGCTTATAAATGGATAAGGTTTTATTACATATATACAGAAGAACTATACAAAAAAGATCTCATGACCCAGATAAACACAATGGTTATAACCACTTACCTAAGGCCAGATATGCAGGAATGCAAAGTCAAGTGAGCCTTAGGAAGCATCACTACAAACAAGGCTAGNATCTGGTCCCATCACTTCATGGAAAATAGATGCGGAAACAGTGGAAACAGTGTCAGACTTTATTTTGGGGGGCTCCAAAATCACTGCAGATGGTGACTGCAGCCATGAAATTAAAAGATGCTTACTCCCTGGAAGGAAAGTTATGACCAACCTAGACAGCATACCAAAAAGCAGAGACTCTACTTTGCCAACAAAGGTCCATCTAGTCAAGGCTATGGTTTTTCCTGCAGTCATGAATGGATATGAGAGTTGGACCATAAAGAAAGCTGAGCGCAGAAGAATTGATGCATTTGAACTGTGGTGTTGGAGAAGACTCTTGAGAGTCCTTTGGACTGCAAGGAGATCCAACCAGTCCATCCTAAAGGAGATCAGTCCTGGGTGTTCATTGGAGGGACCGTTGTTGAAGCTGAAACTCCAGTACTTTGGCCACCTCATGCAGAGAGCTGACTCATTTGAAAAGACCCTGATGCTGGGAAAGATTGAGAGCAGGAGCAGAAGGGGACAAGAGAGGATGAGATGGTTGGATGGCATCACTGACACAATGAACATGGGTTTGGGTGGACTCTGGGAGTTGGTGATGGACAGAGAGCCCTGGCGTACTGCAGTTCATGGGGTTCCAACTTATTATGTGTTCCTCATTCAGCTAATGTCATGGTATAACTTTAAAAAAAAAAAGAACATGCGATCAAACTTTTCTTCCAAGCATTTCATCCTGTTGAGTTTTAAATTTTTAAATAACTTTAATTAATTAATTTTAATTAGTCAATGTGAGTAATGTTTAATCTTTCATTCATATATCACTACTAAAAATTTCTGAGCTGAATAAGCTGGGACTTTTTTTTTTTTAGTTTTATTTTAAAATTGTACTGTTTGAATATTTGACATTTTCTTAAATGTAAAAGCCACTCCTTCTTGATAAAAATAATTCTAAAGAGGGCTTGACCTCCAGGAATAATTATTATGATTGCATTAATAGGTTTGGATTTGAGTTGAGAATACAGAGAATCCATCTAGAGGGCTGGAAGTACATGCAAGAAGGTTAGCTCATCAGTTCTAAGGACTCAGCCACTCCAGGAAAACAGCCTTTTATTATTTTATTCACTTTTCTATAACTGTCATTAGAAAGAGTCTGTTTCTTTGGGCTTCCTAGGTAGCTCAGTGGTAAAGAATTCACTTCCCAGTGCAGGAGATGCAAGAGACCCTGGTTCGATCCCTGGGTTGAGAAGATACTGAGAAGGAAATGGCAAACTACTCCAGTATTCTTGCCTAGAGAATCCCATGGACATAGGAGCCTGGCGGGCTACAGTCTATAGGGTCGCAAAAGAGTTGTGCAAAACTTAGCAACACATTCAATTTCTGAATCAAATAATACTTATGCTCTTTAGAAAATTAATTCCCTCTTATTCTTCCTATTTAGGAAAGAATAAGTCTATTCTTATAATGTAAGTTTCTAGTGAAGAAATGTGCTCATATCTGTTAGGAAAATAGTGTTGTTTTAAAGAGGAAGAAAAAGTGAAAGTGTTAGTCGTTCAGTCGTGTCTGACTCTCTGCGACCCCATGGACTGTAGCCCTCCAGGCTCCTCTGTCCATGGGATTCTCCAGGCAAGAATACTAAAGTGGGAAGTCATTTCTGTCTCCAGGGGGTCTTCCTGACCCAGGGGTTGAACCCAGGTCTCCCACAATGCTGCAAAGTCTTTAGTGTCAGAGCTGCCAGGGACTCAAAAAGGAAGTCCAGTTATTTCATTTGTGATTTCTCCCAGCATGTTAATGTTTCACTTAAGCAGTGGCAAACTCTCTCTCAGTTAAAGAGAATCACTATCAGTATTTGAAGACTTAAGCAGAACTGGGGGTGGGGGTGGGGGGGCTCAAGTCCTGAAAGAGTC